ATCTATATACCACAATTTCCTTATCCAGTCATCCATCCATGGACATTTAGGTTGGTTCCATTGCCTAGCTATTGTAAATGGAGCTGCAATAAACATGGGAGTGCAGGTATCCCTTTCAACCTGATGTTTTCCAGTCCTCTGGATATATCCCCCAGAGTGGGATTGCTGGATCATACAAAAAAGGAAGCTCCATACTGTTCTCTATAATGGCTGTAGTAATTTACAGTCCCACCAACAGTGCAGGAGAGTTCTTCTCTCTCCACATCCTCACCAGCATTTGTTATTCTCTGTCTTTTTTATAATAGCCAGTCTGACTGCGGTAAGATGATTTCTCAAAGTGGTTTTGATTTGCATTTTCCAGATGATTAGTGGCATTAAGCATTTTTTCATATACCTATTGGCCATTTGTATGTCTTCTTTTGAGAATGTTTATTCAGGTCCTTTGCCCATTTATTAATTGGATTATTTGGGGGGTTTTTGCTGTAAAGTTGTCAGAGCTCTTCATATATTCTGGATATTGATCCCTTGACAGATGCATATTTTGCAAATATTTTCTCCCATTCTGTAGGATGTCTTTTCACTCTCTTGCTTGTTTCCTTTGCTGTGCAGAAGTTTTTAGTTTGATATAATCCCATTTGTTTATTGTTTTCTTTTGTTGCCTGTGCTTTTGGGGTGTTATTCATAAAGTAATAACTTCTAACATTTTTATGTCCCATGTTTCTTTCAGAATTAAAAAAAATGATTTATTTATATTAAAAGCATAAGACAAATATTTAGAAGAATATTCACTTCTATTAAATGTTAGTGGTGAGCACATGTATGTCTGTTTATTGCTTTCTGTATTTTATTATGTATTTGACATATCTCACTACTTAAAAATATTAATAATGTACTATCAGGATATTTGCTATATCTTTGCTCTTTCAGACAATCCAAATTTGTTTAACACCCTGATTTTCTCTTTTTGCCTGGGCTTCCAGAAAGTTTTGCTCCAAACTTAATGTCTAATGATGGTAATCATCAGTCCTTATAATTAGCATATTTCTTTCCTCAGCTTTTACCATAACTTTTTACAAGGTCTGTTTTCAAAACTATATGAGTATATGCATTTAAGAGTGAGATGCTTCAAATCCATTTTTAGAAAGCAGAAAGTTTATGAGTAAATATGATCATGACTACATTGTGGTTTGATTTTTCAAAACTAAGCGGAAGTCATACATAGCTAGCTGATATGAGAACCCAGGTCTACTCATGCTAAAACCTGTATTTCTTTCTCTTGCATAAAGGCAGATTTAACTTTGTCCTTGATTTAACCATTTCTGTACTAGTCTTAGTCCCAGAAAACCAGTGAAGAGACATCCCTGATCAACTGTAAGGTATTGTAAAATGATGCACCAGCACCTAATTCCCTACCTTGAATAAATCAGGTCAATAAATATTGAAAGAATTGCTTTGTGTAAAGGGCAGAAGATTTTTTGAGGCAGCATGAAATTATAAAAGATAAGACTGAAGTACTGATGATACTGATATGAGATGCTGTAAGTTAGAGAGGATGAGTTGTGGGAATGAATATTTAATGTCTTAAATATTGAGGATGCAAACTCTCAGCTATTACAGCATACCTAGACAATGATTTTTTAAATACACTCCAGTACCCCATAATCCTTACCCCTTTCAACCCATTTTTCAAAAAGTTAAAGCAGTGATTTTTATAATTATTTTAAATCATGTTACTCATGTGTGTGTGCATATATATATATATGTATGTATCTATATGTTATATAGATACATGTGTGTGTGTGTGTGTGTGTGTGTGTGTGTGTGTGTGTGTGTGTGTGTGTGTGTGTGTGTGTGTGTGTGTGTGTGTGTGTAAAATCACACTTAGAGTTTTGGCCAAGATGCAGTAAGAGGGATTGGATTTATCCTTCCACCTAATAAACTAGACAAAATATACGCAACAATGTTTTTCACACATTAGACATGAATCACAGGACACTGATCCCTGAGAGAAAGAAGAAAAGAGCTGAGCCCTCAGATAGCACCAGTTTACTTCCTGAAGAGTTTCCAGATGAAAGCACAGGTAGGGGAAACCCAAGTCAAAAGCCTATAGTCTCCATAAGGTGAGGACAAGGCAACTAAAGTTCATAGTGCAGAGTAAGAGAGGTCGGGAGCTTTGCGGAGGGACCTGCTCTAGTCTTCAGCTGAATGTCGATCACTATGTGTGTGTTAGGAAACTACATCAGACCAAGAAAAGAACTACCCAAATAAAGCACTTGGAGAATAATCCTTGAAGCTCACACAGGATTATAATTTATTGGTTCCACCAGCAGAGTGGTAAACTTTATAATACATGAGGATCTAGGAGAGTTTTCTGAAGGGCATTGCCTCTGAAGTCAGGTAAAATTGGCTCTAGACTAAAGGCTACTTTGGTCCCATCTAACAAAACTTTAAAGAAAGTCACACACACACACACACACACACACGCACACGCACACACACAAATTGATTCTAATTTAACTGTATCCCGAGGACAGGATGACAAACATTTACAGAAATACAAAAACATTCAGCATCCAGTGAAATGAAATTTACAATGTCTTGTATCTAAAGAAGTAAAAAAATATAATTCATGGTGGGGAAAAATATCAGTCATGTCAGTGAACCCAGAAATGACGTAAATGATTTAATTGATGATGAGGGCATTAAATCAGTTATCCTATATGTTCAAGAAAGTGGAGGAAAGGTAGGACATGTTAAGTAGATACAGGAAGATATATAAAACAGTGTATTTCTAAAGATGAAAGAACACAAGGTTTGAGAAGAAAAATGTACCATGGTGCAGAAGAAAAGACTAGTCAACATGAAGACATGGCATTAGAAATAAACAAAGATAAAACATGAAGAAAAAATCCTGAAAAAAAAATAATGAAGACAGCATCAGTAAGTTGTAGGATAACATCATGCAGATTGGAAGAAGAGTGGTGAAAAGCTGAAAAAATATTTGAAGAAATAACAATTAGAAATTTTCGGAATTTGATAAAAACTACAAACCTATAGATGCAAGGATTTTAATAGACCCAAGTATGAGAAACATGAAAATCCTTAGCTTAAAAAAAAACCTTTTACCTTAACGTTCATCTCTGCATTTGAGTCTAAGCATTACTCTCATTTCTGAAAATATACCTTAGTTCTTATTTTTCTCATTGTATTGCTTATTCTTGGAATGTTGGTTATTTCTTTATGTGCCTCAAGACCTTCTAATCACCCAAGCACCAGGTCCTCTGTGAAGCCTTGTCATGACCACCTCTTCTCTGCCATCCTTCCACCCTATTTCCAAGTGAATGTGCTCTCTTAATGTTCCCCTACTTATTTGTGGATAGCTGTAATTAAATTGTTTTCTTCTCTTGCTGCCTGTGAGGTTTTCTTACTCATCTTTAAGTCCCCAGAATACAATAAAGTTTTTGTAGCCATTATTTCCCCTCCAGCAAGTGTTTCAGAAAAGAACGAAGAATGTAAGCTCTGTGAATGTGTCTTTGTTGTCTCTATGTTTCAGCATCTAGTATTACTGGCAATAATTCGTGCTCAATTATTATTTTCAAAGGAAGAAAGGAATTTTTATTGGTTCACAATTGTAAAATCAAATGGTGTTTGCATGCTTCTACATGCAAGACATTGTTCTGTGCATGGAGACACAGCAGAGAAAAAGATCCACGAGCTTATATCATAGTGTGTCTGGGCCTGCATTTATGTATATTTAAGTGTTTATTTGATGGTGGGAAAATATACAAGTAAATAATTAAATAAAAAAGATAATTTTAAATATCGAACAGCATTCCAAATGCAATAAAACACATTGATCTGGGCCGGCCCGGTGGCTCACTGCTACTGTGCGCCGCTTAGGAGCGTGGCGGCGCTCCCGCCGAGGGTTCGGATCCCACATACAGACCAGTTGCCGCTCACTGGCTGAGCGAGGGGCAGGCGCAGCACTGAGGGTTGCGATCCCATTGCCGGTCCCGGTCCAGTACGGGCGCTACACTGAGGGTTGCGATCCATTGCCGGACACGAAAAAAAAAAAAACACATTGATCTGATTTGAAATGGGGGTATTTTGAATGATCAGGGAAAACTTTACTGAGCAGGTAATACATAAATCAATATTTCTGGAAAGAAAAAAACCAGCCATTGAAGTTTCTGGGCCATGAGTTTTCCAGGCAGAGAAAATAGTAAGAGCAAGAGCCTAAGGTAAAGGATGAGTAATAAAAGAATATTTGAGAAAGAGAAAGAAGGCAAGTGTGAACAGTATATGAACAATGACCAAAATCCACTGTGAAATACTTCTTAAAATAAAAATGTTAAATAGAAACCATCATACATAAGTAGCCTACATGAAAGCAAGGGGTTGAAGAAAATAGCACCATTATTCATTTTCACTTTGAATGTCGAGAGTTTTTAATTCAATGACTATTTGGGGTGTGCTTTTGACTCTGTCTAATAAATTCCCTGACCTCAAAGTTCCTAGCATCAGCATTTTAATTTCCCTGGTAGTTGTGACACCAAATCTTATTAATATTTTGCACAAATTGTGCAGACTGTCTTACAGTTTACTGCCATATAGAAGCTTTCTGGCCCTAAGGCTCTACTGGAAGCAAGTCCAAAATATGCAAATTGGAAGATAATGACTTGATTGCAATTATCACCATGTGCTAAGCAGGGGAAATTGTGGGTGTGTTACTTGTAATACATTTCATTCCTCCTAAACACCATTTTTGACCATTGTTCCCGACTGTTTGAAAAAAGCTTGAAATAAGCTGCTTTGGTTTCTAATGTCTCTACTCTCTGGGGAAATAGGTTACATAATCAGGGTGGAGAATGTAGCTAACTGGCAAATGTATAGTGCTTAGGTTTGTGCATATGGATCTACTTATAAATACAGCCTGTAGAGCATCCACAGTGGTGATCTCTATTAACATACTTCCAACAGACCTTGAAGACCTCATTGATCATGAAGCCATCAGGCACCCTTCTGCTTTTAGTCAGTGTGGCCTGTTTGTTTCTCTTTGCAGGTGAGTTATATCTATATGCATATCTATATCTGTATCTATATATATTTACAAGCATATGAAATGGAATTCTGAACCAGGCTGGTCAATGTCAGCAGTCGTGATGTGTGATATTTTTGTTTATGATGATGATTACGATAAGGATGGTTAATGATGGTGACTACCCATCACACTCCAAGTTTAGAAGGAACTGTTATTTAAAATTAAATTACCTGCATTTACATTCACTGTAATACTATGTAAGAGATAGTTTTAGCCAATTCCTAAAACAGTGTTATAGCTCATAAAATGAGACGGCCATTCCTAGGTCATGGGGCCCCCAAGTGGCTGACCTAGGAGTTCTAGGCCAATTGTGTTCCCCTCAGTAGACCACAATGAACAGCATAAGGTTACAAATAAGCTTCATTTTTCAAGGAAGAAATTTATGTTGAGATTAGAAACTCTCATCTAAAGTCACCTTCAAGCAATTCTTGTCTAAAGGGTTTCAACTGCCAGAATTTTCCTGAGATTCTCCCATTTTATTAAAAGCTGAGTCATTCTTACCCTGTAGGTAAGCAAAGTAAGAGATGACTGGATAGGTAGGTAGATAGATGAGAGAGATAGAGAGATAGAGACAGAGAGGGGGGGAAGAGAGAGAGAGAGAGAGAGAGAGAGAGAGAGAGATATGACGATTATGTAATGTAGTAAAAGAGCCCAGGACTGGGATTCTAAGACTTGGCTTCTAATCTTCATTCTGCTGCTATCTCTTTCTTTAATGTTGAACAAGTCACTTCCTTTCTCTTGCATGTAAATGGCATATGTGAAACTTAAATGCTCTAAGCCTTCTTTGAATAAAAGCTTATGCTTCAGTACATTGGCTTAAGAATCTAAAAGACCTAGGTTTGATTCCTGCTGTGCCATTTACAAGGTGCATATTCTCAGGCAAATTACTTGCCCCGGAGCTCAGTTCTCTTATCTTTAAAAATGGGGTTATTAGTATGACTTAATTTATGTAAAATTTAATACAGTGCTTAAAATACAGGAAATCTCCAGCAGTAGGTAGATATTGTTAGTGTTAGTGGGAATGGTGGTAAATCATACGATTTTTTTCAATGCTCTCAAAATTATTTTTTATTTTGTTATATTAGTAACTTGTTCAGCAGTTTTCTTGGTTATCCTTTAATCAAATGGCTTCTAGATTTTGGAATTTTCAACTTCTTTTTAGTTAATATATACCTCTTTGACAAAGAATAGATCCAGAGTTTGCTTTCGTTTCTTCAGGTATAGCCTAGTTTTAAGGCAAACATTAGATAAAAGCCACATAAATAGCAAACATAGTGAAAACAGCTTTGTACTGATCATTTGTAGCCTGATCTCTCACTCTGTTGTACCATTAATAGGCTGTGTGTCCCGGTGCAATTTTTACCCTTCTCTGGGCCTCAGGTCTTCATTCATAAAGTAAGGCAGTTGTAATGGGAGATCTCTAAGGTTAATTTTGACTTTGAATTCTGAGCTGTTGTGATTTATCAGTGCCTGTTCTGTCTTTGCAGAGGCTGTGAGCCAAGGAGGCTTTCAGGTATGTGCTTCTTCCTCATAACAACAAATCTTACAACACTGGTGATCTTAAGCTGGGAAGTTCCATTAAGATTGTCTGAGCTCCTTTGGCTGGTCTGGTGAGAAGGTAGAATGATAGCATGATATGTTGTTCTAGACAAAGTGTCATCAGTGGTGCAGATGCATTTTCTTAAACAGTGGAAAAGGACTTGAAAATTACCTCACATTTTTTAAAATAGCCAGATGTCACATTTCCATATAAGGAGTTTATATTTACTCAAAGCCTCTGCAACAGTACAGTGCTTATAGAAGTGAGGAGAATATCGTTTATTTTCGAAATCAAAATAATTTTGAGAATGAAAATGGTACTTAATAATAGTTACAAGAAGATAATTATATTGTTCATTTGCTTATTTATGAATTCAGCTCCCAGTTATGAGTGAGAACATGTGGTATTTCTTTTTCTGTACCTGGGTTGCTTCACTTAGGATAATTTTCTCCAGGCAAAGAAAGAAAGAAACAACAATCACAGTAATATGCTGAACTTTTAGAAAACTAAAGTTGGAAAAGGGCAGGAGAGGGAGGGAGAGAGGGAGGGGGCTAATGAGGAATTGGTCAATGGACAAAAAGAATGATTGGGTATTGTAATGATGAATAAGCTAACTATACTGATCTAATCAACACACATTCTACACAGTTTTTGAAAATCAATTTTGCACCCCACATGTATGTATAATCAAAAAGAAAAAAAGAAAAAAAAAGAATAAGAAAATTATAAACTAGGACTATCCCGGGCAACCTAGAACATATGGTCACACTAGATCTGTCACTCTAGATCTGAATACCATGTGCATAAAAGCCAGGACAAAAGCTTAGTAAAATGCACATTTCCTCTCTCCCCATGTACATGTTAGATCTATGAATTGAACTGGGAATTAAGGAACAAACTCAATAAATACATCGTCCAAGGAGTGGATGGTTGAATGAATGGGTGGATTAATAGATGGATTTATGAATGAATGAAAGATTCAGCAAATGTTAGAGAATGTACAAGCAAAGTATCAGATATAAAATACAGTATTATTTTCACTTTCTGAAAATTAGCTTACTACAAAAATTTTGAGATGTGCCTTTTTTTATCTATACACCTTACCTAAAAAATTAGTTTAAGATACTTTGATAAAGTGATCTAAATTGATTTCCTGTATTTTATTTTTAAAAACTTTTTTTTTACCTTTTCATTTTGAAATAATGAAATTGTAAAAATAGTCCAAAGAAATAGTGTATACTTTTTACTTAACTTTCCCAACTGTTAACATTTTATGTAAACTTAGTACAGCATCAAAATCAGAAAATTAATTTTGATAGATATCTATTAACTTAATCTATTAATTTTTCAAGTTTTACCAATTGTCCCCAAAATGTCATTTTTCTTTTTTTTTTTTTTTTCCTTTTTGTCTTTTTCCGTGTCCGGCAACGGATCGCAACCCTCAGTGTTGCCCCCGGACCGGGACCGGCAACGGGATCGCAACCCTCGGCGTTGCTCCCGCGCCTCGCTCAGCCAGTGAGCGGGAGCCGGTCTGTATGTGGGATCCGAACCCTCAGTGGGAGCGCCACCGCGCTTCCCAAGCGGCGCACTACAGCAGTGCGCCACCGGGCCGGCCCCGAAATGTCATTTTTCTGATATAGGATCTAAATTGAGACCATGTTTAGCTGTTTTGTCTCCTTAATCTCTTCAACTCTTTTTGAGGCAAAAGCTATTTTTTTGAGGAAAAGTTCAATTGTAAGATTTTAATTAGAAATTTGATTATACTGCCTTGGAAATTCAAGTTACTGGCACAAAGTAAGTACTCAATGTTTATTTCTTTATGAACTCATACAAAAGGAAATTTAAAAGTTAACTAAGTAAGAAAAAGTGAGAAGACACATTTTTGGAAATTAAATCAAGCTAAATCAGAGTGGAAATAAGGGACCTTTTTTTATATACTTCTAGTGAAACAAATCTCCTCTATTACACCAAATGTAAACTTTTTGAATCAAAAGTCGTTTTGCTAAAGAAACTATTTGGAAAAAAAAATAAAGAAATTCAATTATTACTTAAACTATACCATACTAAGCAAGTTTGGGGTTTTTTTTTTGAAAATATCTTGTCAATTGACAGGACTAAATATCCCATTTAAATCCCCCTTCTCAGTGTGTTTTGATACAACCCAGAAGTTGATTCTCAGTGCTTTTCATCCCTTTTGGAGACTGACTAAGTTAAAAAGGCAAATCAGATATGACTTATCTCAAAATGTTCCTCGCCACATTGAGGAGTGATGGCTTACACACAGGAGAGGTATAGACAAATTTCTCCAGGAATTATTAGAGAGTGATAAAGAATTTCCATTTAGATAACCATTTAATGATAAAGCAATTTGGCAATAAGTATTGAAAGCCTTCAAAATCATACCCTTTGAAATAACAATTATTTTCATAAGAACATAACCTAAAACATAATCAGAATATATACAAGTATTTATATGTAAAGAAATAATCCCAGTGCAATGAATGTGGGGGGAAAAAAGAAGAAAAAAAAACATAAAACAATAGTGGATTAATAAAATAAAATGTCATATCTTTATGGACTATTATACCACAAAATCATACTTTTTAGAATGTGCATAGTGGTGTAGAAAAGGTAAGTAATAAAGAATAAATGGAACATATATACAGTGTGGTTCTATTTTTTAAATTATACATATGGAAATAGAATGCGTAGGGATGGAGGGAAAAATAACAAAGTGCTAACAAAGGAGGTATCGCTAGATGCTAAGACAGCATGAGATTTTTGCTTCTTTTTGTTTTCAATATCTATTTTCATTGTAATAATATAATATGAGCTTTTTTAAAAATTCTAAGTGTATAAGGTTAGTATATATGTGTGTGTGTATATATATATGTACAAATATATATATATATATATATATATATATATATTTCATTCCTTAAGAGAGCAAATGATGTCAATGCCATTATTCGTGATAAAAACACTTCATTTAAATACAGGCTTTTTGCAGTGACTATGAAAAACCAGCTATGGATGGAAAACCCTGTCCAAAGATCCACAAACCAGTGTGTGGCACTGATGGGCGAACTTATGAAAATCGCTGTGAATTCTGCAAAGCAGCTATGTAAGCACACGGAAGCAGCTATTGGGACAGCACCTTTAGTTTGGGTCAATGGAGTATGAGTCAGACAAATTATTTATTAAAACATTACTGTGCTGTACATTTTACAGATCATTCCTATTTAAAATAAGGTAATATTACTATCCCGAAACTAAGACCTAGAAAGTGTAAGTACCATTTCCAGGTCACCCAACTTGGGATTAATTCATTTCCATTTAATTTCATCTCTAAACACTATCTCTTTTCTTTCAGGGAAAGAAGTGGAAAGCTTGGTTTCAAACATGATGGGAAATGTTGATTCCTCTGATGTTGCAAGACTGGAAGCACCTTTGGTATGCTTTCGCATCAGAAGATTTATTCCCTGTTATCCAGTCTCTATTGCAATGTACCTCCCACCAGTTACTATGCATAAAAGAAAGAAGTTTCAATAAAGTGATCTTGGCAGAATTTCTACATCGATTTTTTTTTTTCAGGTAATAATGAAGGCACCTATGTTTGATTTAGTTAGACTAAGTGTTATACTACCTTAGTATGAAATGATACAATTTGAATAGAAACACAGGGAAAGGTTATTACCACACTTATCAAATCCAGAAATTTCCAATCAGTACTCAGTTCTTCTGAATTTATGTAGATTAACTCAAGTATAATAAAGTTGGATCCAAAGAAATAAATGTACATCATCTGACACAAATTAGCGTTCTTTAGGCCGGCCCAGTGTCACACTGCTACAGTGCGCTGCTTGGGAGTGTGGCAGCGCTCCCGCCGAGGGTTCGGATCCCACATACAGACTGGCCGCTCACTGGCTGAGCGAGATGTGGGCGCGACACCAAGGGTTGCGATCCCGTTGCCGGTCCCGGTCCGGTATGGGCTCGACACTGAGGGTTGCGATCCGTTGCCGGTCACGAAAAAAAAGGGGGAAAAAGAAAATTAGCGTTCTTTAGTATATGGTAGTTGGGGAGATGTTTTGCCCAAAGGACACACTGAGTCCATTTTAGAACTTCTCAGTTTATATGCTGAGGCCAGAAATAAGTAACAAGTGAGACAAAACTTGAAGTTGGTCATTTCAGTCATTGGGACAGCTGAATAGGTTAGTTGAGCCCTCTAGGTTAGTTGTTTCTGGTTTTATCAGTTTACTACAGTTTACCACAGAAAATGTTATAATTTTCTATGTGTGATAAGTTGCAAAGTAGCTTGAAAGTATAGATTTACTAACGTGGTGTGGATGCTTAGAAATCTAGAGGTGAATAGCCAAGCTTGGCACTTTCAGGCACTATTTGGAGAGACAAATGTATACTAACTAAAATATAGTTTGATATACACCTGTTTAAAATTTTCAATGAATGAATTATTGAATTTATTAACTATACAAATAACTATTCAATGCCTGTGATATACCAGATACCATTCCAACCATAAGGAAAACAAAAACAAGGCCCCTACTTTAAAGAATCTTATGGTTTACTGAAGAGACAAAAATGAATTAAAAAATATATTTTTAGTTATTAATAAGTTTACAAAGAAAACAAAATAGAGGCATACAATGGAGAAAACTGAGATACAGATTTGAGAGAAGAATTATTTAAAATTGGTTTTTAAATTGATTCCTGAGAGATAAAGAGGATTCAGGCACATGCAGATATGAAGGAAGAGTATTCCAAGCAAAAAGAATTACAAGTATTAAAAAAATAAATAAAAACAACTGAAATGGGAATAAGGTTGGCATAATTAAGAGAGTGAGAGCAACCAGTTTGTCTGTTCATGCAAAGCTTTGGGAGCCAAGTTAAAGAGTTTGGATTTTATTTTGAGTTATGGATAACTACTGAAGTACGTTAAGAAAAGACTTCCTAGAAGGGGTGGCATTTTAGCTGATCTGTGACATATGAGAGATTTGCTGGGTAGAAAAGGAGGCAGTAGCATTCCAAGCATAAGAAACACAGTGAAAACTGGTGTATGTGAAAAGATTGTTTCTAAAGTGTCAAAGTGAGGACGTGGGGGAAAAAAGATCAGAGCTCAGGGCACTTCAGTATCACATACCTAAACATACTGCTTCTAAAGCAGAGGTGTCCAATAAATGGCAAGCAAACTGGTTGTGGCTTTTTTTTTTTAAGTGCACATAGAAAACTGTATTTTTAGAAACTCTTGAAAAATGAGAATCACATACCTAAACATACTGCTTCTAAAGCAGAGGTGTCCAATAAATGGCAAGCAAACTGGATGTGGCTTTTTTTTTTTAAGTGCACATAGAAAACTGTATTTTTAGAAACTCTTGAAAAATGAGGCTATCTGGTTATACAGTGCTCAATAATAAATTAGTTAACATCTCATCCTTTTTGATGGGCCATCCAAGCAGTGCTCCGGATCAGCCTCCCTCCTTCACGTTAGCTGCTGTTTCCTCGTGGTATATGATGTTCATATCCCCACTTTAAGGCATAACAGTTTTGAGCATCTGATTGAATACACAGTTTTGGAAAATTCACAATCTCAAGAAGCAGCTCAGGCAGCAATAGAAAACAATTTTTCTATAGTAAGTCAGTATTTGTCTCTTTACACTCCCACCAAGTTCTATCCAAACACACAATAATGGCCTCCTAGCCACCTTATATACACAAACACACAGAGGTAACACACAAAGCACACACACAACTTATACTTCCTTTCCACATCTTTTTCCTTTAAATATCTCCTAGATTTAATTTCTGTCTATAGAATATCATTAGCTGCCTTGCCAAGCTTTACATAAAATCCCTTTTTGATAACGTCAGACATTGTTTTCTATGTGTCAAAGACATTGTTTTAAGGAATTTACATATATTAACTTACTATATCTTCACAACAACCCAATTGGATAGCATTATTATTATATTCATGATATAAATTCCTCTTACATAAGAGGAATCTGAAACACAGGAACTCGCACGTAGTCACCAAGTTAGGAAAAGGCAGAGCCAGAATTCAAACTCAAGCAAACTGTTCCTCAATGTAGAAATTTTGTAAATATTTTTTTCATGGACTTAGATGAACAAATTAGTGTCCAAAGTGTTCTGAGGTACCAATCAAAAGCAAATATAAATATACCTGAGTATTTCAATTGTGATTACTAATCTTGCAGTGCTAAAAATGAAATATTCAAGGATTCCCCCCCACACACTGGACTGTCATACTACACCATGGTGGGTGGCATCTGACAAAGATGAAAAATAGTTTGTTGTGTTGTTTCAGCTCTAATACAGGCAGGTATTATTTTATAGAAATTGAGATAACATTTAGAATATGGACTGTCACAATACAATTTTGCCACACTCTCCTCTGTTATTTCATTGGAGAAACAAGAATAATAGCTATATGATAGGTTGTTTAAGGATTGCACGAGGTAATTCATGTAAAGCACTTGACACGGTGTTAGGTCCTAGGTAAGTAAGGGTTTAATTAATATTTGCTATTTTTAATATAGGGATATAAGTTGGAAGTAAAAGGTTATTAAACGACCAGAAAATCAGAATACAGAGATGACAGTTGATATGAGAACCAACAAGCTACATGTCCTTGGCAATTTCTTTTCCATCTTATAAACACTGAGGTACCACATAGCCTGGACTCACAATTTTACGGTCTCTGAGTCTCCTACTATCAGAATACAGAAAGTAGGCTTAAGTGTGTGATGTCATCAAATGCCATAAGCGGTTCAGTGTCCTATCTGGTCACAGAGTATAAATGGACCTGTAACCATTACCTAGTAAGCAAATACATGATTCAGGGAACATCAGAGTAGGAATCAAGGCCAGGCACTACCACTTGTTTTTGGAACTCTGGTGATTTTTTTCTTGATTCTCACTTTCCCATTATAAAATGAAAGACTTGGCTAGATATTCTCTAATGTTTCTTATAGTTGTGATATTCTATGATTTAGTCATCTATACAACCCACAGTTTCTTGAATATACTAGAGTTCATCAGTGCATGAACTGAAATTAAAAAAATAATATATTAAAATCCATGGAAAATGTCATGGTAGAAAAACTATTAACACAATGATTCTTAAAGTACTGAACAGGTATTTCTGGTATATAGTATGTAATATGATCTCTGAAAAATGTTGTTTTAAAATATTTGTTTTTATGTATTTGTTTTAAAGTGTATTTAAAAAAAATAAAAGTAGTCCATAAAGTCAATAGTATTGGTTAAAATGACCCTAAATAAAGCATAATCAATTTAAAAGAAAAATATAAGCACTAAATAGAACAGGTACTATGTATATATGCCAAAAAATTGTTCAAAAAAGACTGATTTCTTTTTTTATCTTAAATCAGTAGATGTTACATTTGATTTCTTTGGTTTTGTTATCACCATAGACACTTTTGCCAAAAAATTGTTCAAAAAAGACTGATTTCTTTTTTTATCTTAAATCAGTAGATGTTACATCTGATTTCTTTGGTTTTGTTATCACCATAGACACTTTTTTTTTTTTTACTAATAGACTATTGTTTTAGAGCAATTTTAGGTTCACAGCAAAATTGAGAGGAAGATACAGAGATTTCTTATAAACCTCCTGCCCCCAGCATGAATAGTCTCCTCCATTATTAACATTCCACACCAGAGTGGTGCATTTGTTACACTGATGAAACTACATTTGACAATTCCTTATCACCCAGAGTCCGTAGATTGCATTAGGATTCACTAACGGAGTTGTAAATTCTGTGTGTGGACAAATTTATACTGACATGTATCACACAGTGTAGTTTCACCACTCAAACAAATTAGCTGTGCTGTCTATTCATCCTTCTTTCCTCCCCTAACCCCTGGCAAATACTGATCTTTTCATATCTCCATAGTTTTGCCATTTCCAAAATGTATTATAGCTAGAATCATACAGTATGCAGTCTTTACAGTTTGTCTTCTTTTACTTAGTAATATGCGTTTAAATTTTTTTCCATGTCTTTTCACGGCTTCATAAATCCTTAGTGCTGAATAATATTCCATTGTCTGGATATACTACAGTTTATTTATCCATTCAATGGTTGAAGGACATCTTGGTTGCTTCCAAGTTTGGGCAGTTATGAATAAAGCTGCTGTAACTATCCATGTGCAGATATTTGTGTGAACATAGTTTTCAACTTTTTTGGGTAAATACAAGGAGAGGAATTGCTTGTTCACATGCTTAGTTTTAGAAGAAACTGCCTATGTTTCAAAGTGTTTGTACTATTTTGCTTTCCTTCCAGCAATGAATGAGAGTTCCTGTTGCTTCACATCCTTTCCAGCATTTGGTGTCACCAGTGTGTGGATTTTGACCACTAATTTGTTAATCCAAGTCCATGAAAAAAATATTTACAAAATTTCTACATTTAGGAGCAATTTGTGTGAGTTTGAATTCTGGCTCTGCCTCTTACTAACTTGATGACTGTGTGCAAGTTTCTGTGCTTCAGATTCCTCTTATGTAAAACGAATATA